TAGCGAGCACCTATAAGAGAGTGGTGAATGGCCACCACCGCGCCCGGCCGCCTTTGTCTCCTGAGTGGCGATGTTTACATACAGCATCAAGTTCTCATTTGAGGCTGGGTCGACCAAATCCCAGGACCGGTTCAGATAATCGCCACTGGTGTTGGTGGCCTTGAGCAGGAATCGACCTCGGGTCCGGCGGGTTCGTAGAGTAGTACGCTAACCGCTGAGCCACCGCTCCTCACATAAGCACACACACACAGCGTGTAAACACGCACACACACACGAGTACACTACCACACACGCACGCCACTAACACACATGTGCGTGCGCCGTGCTATCCGTCGACTTGGGAGAGCTTCACTCGGTGCGGTGGCTGTGGGAGGGCATTTCTGCCGCTCGCTCCACGTGGGTAAACCGGCGTGGTAGTAAGAATACCTTACACTTCTAAACAGAGAGAAATTGACGAATAGGCAGAGAGAGAGAGAGGGAAAATGAAAGGAGAATATGGACAGGCGCTGGGCACACGGTGGGTGGGGTCAACGGGTCAGGTTACACCCGAGTCAGCGAAATGAGAGGGGACCTTCGCCTTGTGACGGAGGGAGCTCCTGGTTGTTCTGGAGTGGGAATTCTGGAGGGGGTGTTGAGCAGTCGGAATTCTGGAGTGCTAATTTTGGAGTGAGAATTATGGGGTGGGAATTCTGGAGTGGGAATCCTGGAGTGGGAATTTTGGAGTGGGTTTTCTAGAGTGGGAATTCTGGAGTGGGAATTTTGGAGTAGGTTTTCTAAAGTGGGAATTCTGGAGTGAAAATTATGGGGTGGGAATTCTGGAGTGGGAATTCTGGAGTGGGTGTTCAGCAGTGGGAATTATGGAGTGTGTTTTCTAGAGTGGGTATTCTGGAGTGGGAATTCTGGAGTGGGAATTCTGGAGTTGGTGTTTTGCAGCGGGAATTCTAGAGTGGAATTATAGACCGGGAATACTGGAGTGGAAATTCTGGAGCGGAGATTCTGGAGTGGGAATTTTGGAGTGGAATTTTTTTAGTGGAAATTCTGCAGTGAAAATTCCAGTCCACTGCTTGAAGGTGGCAGGTTCATGGAGTTTTCCACTGGCGCAGCTGTAATGGGCGGCCTCGTTTAAATCTGCCACGTCCCGCAGGAATTCCACAACCGGCTAGCGACGAGTGGCGATGGCGGTTTTACATTTTTATTTTTAATTCTCAAACCACGGCGAGGAGGCTCAGCTGGGATCCGGCACCTCGCGTTTGCGTCGCGGTCCCAGTGGGAAAAAAATTTTGGAACGAAAAAAATACAAAGATGACTTATATTGTGCTGCTTACAATATTGACCAGCAGCACCAGCCGGAATTAATCCAATTGTTGCGATGAAGCGAAAATAAAAATCTGACAATCGAAGCACTGTGGGAGGAGAGTGGAGTGTGCAGCAAGGGGATAGTGATTGTAACGACAAACTCAATGAGCGTTGTTTTATTCGTTAAACCTCGCGTTTGTCCACAATGTCCTCCAGCCCCAGCCTATCATCAGTGACGCATCATTGAATATAATACATTGCAAGTAGTGCTATACCATGATTGCATAACCGCAGTTAGTCGATCGGTAGGTTGCATGACGTGGGGTAAAGCGTGGGTGCTCCAGCCTCTTCCAAGATGTCTTATCGGCAAGGCAATATTCACCAGGGGGGCTCCAGATGGCTCCCTCTCGTGGAGGCGCTCGCGACAGCAGCAGTCGCGTGAACGATGGCGCTGCAACTGCGTTGTTAGTCTCGACCACTGTCCAATCAATCCCTGGAAATGAACATTGAAGTTGTTGTTCTGCGTCTCCATCGGCCATACGAAAGAAGAAGAGACCACTGGCCAGTATACTGAGAAATATATGGGGAGATGTGCATGATTGGACTTACACTGCAAGAGACAGAAGGAGGTTCCCATGAAAGTAAAATGTTTAAAAATATGTTTTTCTTGCCATTATCAGCACTCAAACGCGCCCCTCTGCATGTGGCTTCCTCCTTGGGCTTCCGTTCCGCCACCAGCCTCTTCCATCAGCAGTCGCCATCGTCACCAACCCTTCATCGCGCGTCTATCATGCTTGCGCATGATGATGGCAGCAGCGATCTGTTCTGGAGCTCGATGCCAATGTCGAGATCTGCTGCTGGCCACGACGAGAGGGCGTTAGCAGAGAGAGAGAGTTCCTGTCGGTTTGTTCTTTGTTGCTCCAGCGGTTTACTCCATGGTCCATAGTTTTGGCTTGCATGATCACAATCGCATTGTGGATTGTCTTTAAGGTATCTCTATGTATCTCTATGCATCTCTCTGTATTCATATGCGTCTCTATGGCTCTGTGTTTCTGTGCACAGTATCTCTATGTGTCTCTACGTGTCTGTGTGTGTCTCTCGGGGTGCCCTATATGGTACCTAGTCTCTCGGGGTGCACTATATGGTACCTAGTCTCTCGGGGTGCAATATATGGTACCTAGTCTCTCGGGGTGCACTATATGGTACCTAGTCTCTCGGGGTGCACTATATGGTACCTAGTCTCTCGGGGTGCACTATATGGTACCTAGTCTCTCGGGGTGCAATATATGGTACCTAGTCTCTCGCACTATATGGTACCTAGTCTCTCGCACTATATGGTACCTAGTCTCTCGGGGTGCACTATATGGTACCTAGTCTCTCGGGTTGCATGGCCACAGTCGCACTACTGCGGCGTGTGTCTTTCTACTCTCCGTCGATGCAGGAGGCGTGCACAGCACCGGCTTGCTGTTGATGTCCCGGTGCGGTTAATGGTTCCACCGCCGGTGTCTCCGAGGAGGAGATGGGAGGAGGAGGTGGGAGGAGGAGGAGGATGAATGTCAAACCCAGGAGGAGGTGCGGTGTCTGAGTCTCGGATGAGATGTTTATGATTCTGGACGTCCGCGATGTTTCCATCCTGTTCGCGCAGCAGCAGCAGCAGCGGCGTCCTCCCTTCGTAGCTGATCACTCTGCCGTTACATCACTCGTGGCATTAACCCGGCGCACTGCTGCGCTTGCCGGCATCAATGGTCGGGCCGTTTGTGCGTCAAGCGCCTAAAAATAGTGGAGGCAAAAGGCTTTGATGGATATCTGAGGGGCTCTGACGGCCAGGTTGGGCGTAGGCGTACGTACACACACAAAAAATACACCCACACACACACAAGATCCCCCTGTAGCCCTCACAGGCAGTTAGGCCAAAGTGCTGTTAGCGAGCACCTATGAAGGCCGGAGCGGTACACGAGGGAAGGGGTGGGTGGTCAGCACCACCCCCGACCGACACACACACACACACACGTACACACACACACACGTACACCCACATGTACACACACGCACACACACATGTACACACACATGTACACACACATGTACACACACACACTCGTGCGCTGTAGCGCTCCCCAGGGCTGAACCCTTGGCTCTGGCTGAGATGTTGCTGACCGCCTTGGTAGCCGTGACCTGTCGCTATCTAAAGTGGTTGTGCTACTCTTTCGGGGTTCTTTTTGCTTTGGCGAGTCGTTGGCTTTTATTTTATAACCTAACGGAAGTAATCAAGGAGGGTGTGACGCGGCCCCGTGGTAGCGCGTCCGCCGCTCGTTGCAGAGGTTCACGGTTCGGACCTGACAGGCCTCCCTGGTTAATACTGCAGGCCACCGCGTGCTGGCGACATGGTCCAAATGACCCACCTTTGAGAATGACTCCGCAATTTACCCAATTGGCGCCAGGTCGCCTCCTGCTCTGCAGCTCCTGCAGGCTGGGTCCGTGGAACACTGCGCCTTGTCAAAGCTTCACGCCATTAGAATGGCGCGAATACAAAAAGTACCCAACGATCAATAAACTATATTTCTGTTATTATAATATTTGTAATATTATACTACAGTGTCAACGTAATCTCATTGCTCCATCTTGGAATAATTTTTTCGCCTAGATATTTATCCGGAAATCTAGCTAAGGGCTGGCTGATTTGGAGTGGGGATTATTGGCGTAGGGCATTAGCACTCGAGTACAAGCTACGTCGATCCAAACTAATCCTGTACTATGTTGCGCCCTAAACTGTATTCCTATAATCGTATGGACGGGTGTCGGTATCGTGAGGACAAAACGAGGCGAGGTGGACGTGACGTGGGCAAAATAATTTCCGGAGCAGCGCTGCGCGACTGCGCTGGCTCAGATTAGGCACCGCTCCAAATGCGAGTGGGATTTTTGGTTTGTTATCGTGACACACAAACAGCAGACAACGCGGCTAACGCGAACATCTTCCCGGTGTAAGGGGACACGACCCGGGCGGCCCTCGGCACCGCTACGAGGAAGAGGAAATCCACCGCCGCTCCCGGCCACTTCACCGATGCACAGGCACCACGCGGTGGGTGCTGGGGGGGGGGTGCTGGGGGTTGAAAGGTCACAGCTCCGCGTGTCGACCCGAGGAGACAGGACCACGCAGGGGACGGCGAGGGAGATGTAGCACAGACGGAATCACAGCGCCGCCGCGTTCATTGAATTTCGGGTGAAAAGGTCACGCGCACGTCCACTCAGCCAGCGGTCGTGGCGCCGCGCGCTTAACCTGCTTACTACACCGGCTGGGGGTGGGGCGGGGGGTTCTTCCAGACACACAGAGGGGGCCTCATCAGGTAGATGGAGGGGGGGGGCACCAGACAGAAGGGGTACGAGGAGAGGACTCCATTGTGTTGACTCGCACACGCGGTATGTAAAGAGTTCCCGTGACCCACGTGCCCACAAGAGGAAGCTACGTTAATCATCATCATCGTCGTAGTTACAACAACAATCAATGATTGAATGGAGACCGAGAATTGAGTTGGGTTCAGTTCATTACAGGCCTAAATTAAACGCCCAATGAATCCAAACAGTATCGGATTGCGTTGAGTAACGAGGGAATTTGCACGGCTGGATGCAATTGATCAATTACTGCAGTGACATTTGTTGAAGTCGACGTCATATTTGAGTCGGAATAACAACAACAACAACAAAAATCAACTCTAGCAACTGCTTTGTTTGTTCGTTGAATTTTATTTTCGTTCGCATGAAATTGAACGGAGGAACAGAAAGGGCATCGCGTGGAGCGGGTAACAAATGCAGATTCGAGGCGGCAACAGCGGCGGTGAAGGGACGTGGGGCGGGTGCCGGACAGCGACATCGCGGGGAGAAGAGAACCCGGAGCGGAGAGCAGCCATCGTGCACGAGTCGCGCGGGCTGTGGCATCGCGGGGCCCCGACTGGTGGCAACTGCACGGGAATGAACAACATGCGACGGTGGATCGGCAACGACTCGCGATGATGGTCGTCCTATTCCCACGGCTGATGGTGACCTCTGAAATTTGCGTGAAAGGGGCTTCGTTGGTCATCGGATTCCTCAATGGATGAGTCAAATATTGTGATCCTGATGCAGAGCAACGCCGCTGTAAATGTCCCATTGATGTGGCTAACGAGGCAGATGATTGCGTCAACTGTAGCCGAGTGGAATAGCATGGCTGTGATGATGCTTGCCCCTGCGTATTTGTGATGATGTATGTATGTTGGACTTCTTTCGCACCATACGTAGCCAACCGTGCTAATCGGATGGGCGGGGGGGAATAACAACAAACTAAACAAACACAAAAATGATGATGCATTGTAGAAGCTATACGCGTGTTGTCAGAATTGCGCCAATTACGCGAGCGGATATTTAAATACGACGGCATTCGACCTCCTCGCCGGTCGGATAAATGCAAAGGCAGAGCAACTCCCGTGATTGCGTCATCGAGCCCGGACAAGGCGGCGTCCCGCTTCAGAGAGATCGGCGCAGCGGAGCACATCGCCACTTGGGCCAGCCCAAGTGGCGAATACCAAAACGAAATGAAATGCACACGGAGTGCCTGGCATCAGACGACAAATACTGCCGCTGCTGCTACTTGATGCTGTTGCTGCTGCTGCTGATGTTGCTGCTGTTGCTGCTGCTGCTGTTGCTGTTGTTGCTGTTGCTGCTGATGTTGCTGCTGTTGCTGCTGCTGTTGCTGCTGTTGCTGCTGTTGCTGCTGCTGTTGCTGCTGTTGCTGTTGCTGCTGCTGCTGTTGTTGCTGCTGCTCGTGCCCGGTCTCTCAAGACGTGGACGGACATCATTTATGGAAAGTTTGTGTCCCTGTCGTTCTCGATCACTCTCACATCACCAGATTGGGCGGTGGAGTCACAGAGCGTGCCCAGCCCCCCCAGCCCCCCCCAGCCCCCCCCAGCCCCCCCCCCCCCACCCCGTGTGTGTGGCCCCGGGTGTTTCTCGTGCGCGCTTATCACAGAACCCGGCGACTCGAGTTGGATTCCCGCTGACGGTCAACACCCAATGGACGATTGTCTGAGCCGGACTTAGCCTCCCCTAGGTCGACTCAGCCTCAAATGAGTACCTCGCGCGGTGTGTAAAATATCGCCACTGGGGAGACAAAGGCGGTCGGGGCGTGGTGATGGCAACCCACCCCCTCGTGTGCCGTACCGGCCTTCATAGGTGCTACTCGCTAACAGCACTTACCCCTACAGCATGTTAAAGGCTACACGCGGGGATCTTTGTCTTGGGTCCCACTGCCCCCCCCCCTTCTCTTTCACACACGCGCACAGGGTGAGCCACCACTCTTACCCGCCGCTCCACCGAAACCAAGCGGCTCTTGTGTGAGCTGCCCGGCTCGGCGCGGGTGTCAACAGCGCCGAAATTTACACAATCCCCGCGCTCCCCGCGAGTCTCGGAGGCACGCCGCGGCCACCGCCAGGGATCCGCTGGGGAAGAGTCGCCTCGTGTCGTCGCCGCTGCGAATAGCGGCGACGATCAGAGCGAAGTCAAAAACATCTAAGTGTCACTTTTTGCTCGAGTGGTGGTGGTGATAACTTCTATTGACTGCCTCCGCAACGGTGGAAATTCCACGTTCCTATGGCAGGGGTTGGAACTGTCTGTAGGAAATGGGAACAAACTGCTGCTGCTGACCTCACCGAAAGTGTGACTCGTTTGATGGACCTGGAGAGATGATGTGGCTCGATGGGTTTAGCTCGCAGGAGCGATTTTCAAGTTTTCAGTTTATTTCGTTTAACGAAGTGGGAACGCACGAGGCGAGGATGCGAGTCCCGTTTGCAAGAGTGACTTGAGTCACTCCCGCACCTCCGGTTAGCACGTTTGGCTACGTACGGTGCGAAAGAAGCCCAACATACACACGCACATACGGGTCACCGAAATGACAGAAGCAGAGAAGTAGACAAAAACAAAGTCGCGCAATGAAGTCAACAGCAATCGGTGCAAAAACCCGAACTGCATCTCGCGAGGAACACGCGCGAGGGATGCTTGCGGTGGGAAAGCGACGGGCGAGAAGCGACTTTAGCCTGCGAGAGAGAGAGGGCGAGAGAGAGGGCGAGAGCGAGAGAGGGCGAGAGAGAGAGAGGGTGAGAGAGCGAGAGAGAGGGCGAGAGAGCGAGAGAGGGCGAGAGAGCGAGAGAGGGCGAGAGAGCGAGAGAGGGCGAGAGAGTGGCGACGTGAAGCGTGGGGAGGACAGCCGCGCCATGGGTCTCGCGCCTGGGGACGGCAAAATCGCGCCTCCCGAATGGTCGTAGTCGCCGTTTGTTCATTTATTGTTGTTGTTATTGTTGTCGTGCTTTGGAATGTTGACGCGGCGGAGACCCAAACGGCACTTTGTAGCCGAGCGAGAAGCTGAGTGCTGCGACAAGCGGAGCGGCAAAGTGATGAGCCGTGGCGGCCGCGGTGAGTCACCGAGCCACGGACGCCGTCCCTCGTTAGTCGAGGGTCCACTCACGAAGTCAAGGTCGAGACCGCCGACTCATCGAGACCAAAGCCGACGATGTCACGACCCCCCCCCCCCCCCCCCCACACGTTGCTTTTCGCACTTCTGCTCGAGTCCACTGAGACAGGCGGGAGCCCATTTGGCAGAGATGATTTGTAAAAGAATCCGGGCAAAGCGCAAATATCTCGCTTATAGCTTTGAGCAGACCATTTGGGCAAGTTCCGTTAGCGAGCACCCAGACCCAGGACCGGTTCAGATAATCGCCCCATGGTGTTGGTGGCCGTGAACAGGAATCGACATCGGGTCACCGGGTTCGTAGAGCAGTGCGCTATCCGCTGAGCCACCGCTCCTCACATAAGCACACACACACACACCATGTAAACACACAGACACCATGTAAACGCGCACACACACCATGTAAACACACAACGACGAGTACACTATCGCACACGCACGCCACGAACACACACGTGTGTGTGCGCCGTGCTGTTGATGAGCGCGCGCGGTAACCGTCGACTTGGGAGAGCTTCGCTCGGTGCGGTGGCTGTGGGAGGGCAATCCCTGCCGCTCGCTCCACCATCGCAGCAGCAGCAGCAGCATCATCGCTTCTCGCCGTGAATTCATTAAACCAACGGGAGCCTCGGAAATTAAAGCGGCGCTCTCAGCGGTGGGAATATCGCCAGAGCGCCACACACCATGTCAACACACACACACCATGACAACACACCCCATGTCAACACACACACCATGTAAACACACACACCATGACAACACACACCCCATGTCAACACACACACCATGTCAACACACACACCATGTAAACACACACCATGTCAACACACACACACCATGTCAACACACACCATGTCAACACACACACACACCATGTCAACACACACACACACACCATGTCAACACACACACACCATGTCAACACACACACCATGTCAACACACACACACACCATGTCAACACACACACCATGTCAACACACACACCATGTCAACACACACACCATGTCAACACACACACACCATGTCAACACACACACCATGTCAACACACACACCATGTAAACACTCACGCAGACGAGTACACCCCCCCCCCCCTATTACACTCTCTGCATTTAATTCGATTAACATATGAACGTTACCGCTGTATCGCCGCCTCCTCTTCACCTAAGGCTGAACGTGATTGCTGCATTCTCTTCTACATCTGGCGCCTGATGGCTGCGGCAGAATGCGGTTCAGGAGTTTGATGCCCAAATGTCGAGGCCTACTGTTGGCCACGACGAGAGGACTTCAGCCGCTCGTGTCGTGTCGCTGTTCCTCCCCCGGCGCTGAAAGAACGAAACCCACAGTGGGTTCACCGTGCGGTCCAATAGCTCGGGTTACATTGACACAATCGCGCTACTGTGACTCTGTCTTTCATGTATCCCCATGTATCTCTGCGGTCTGTACGAGTCTCGATGGGTTTACTCTATGCTCCGCAGTTTGTGTTGCATCGCCACGAACGCGCTCCTGTGGATTTGTATTTATTTTTCCATTCATGACGGAGATGTGCGCATGCACGGGCCCCGTGGATGTTCTAATGCGGGATGGTGGTACTGCCCTCATGAGTCCGTCCGTCCGTAACGGGGGGTAAAGCGGAGGGAGCGCAGGGCACGATACCTCTTCGCGAAGATGATCCGATAGGAACCAATCTGGAGTAGGAATGCGCGTTGGGATCGGAACCTTGCCCTTGTGTCAAGCCGGGCAGATTGATCCAAGGATCGACTCAAACTTAGAGGCATAGAGCGGAGCAACAGCGACTCTGGACGACTTCTGACACCTGGCGATGCTCCCCGTGGGCTGCTGCTGCTGCTGCCTCCACGGCGCTCATTAAACGCCTCCTGCGAGGATAACATCGCCTGCTGGGAAGCGTCACGGAACCCGTGCGCTCGCGTGAATCGCCCTGGCGACACGTGGTTCTGGCGACACGTGGTTCGTGCGTAAACTCGCCCGTCTTTACGTTCGCTTCTCCGCGCCGTTCGCACGATCGACTGAATTACATTATTTTGCTCAGCTGAGCAGTGTGATCGAAGAGGCAGAAAGCGAAGTAAGGTGACCTGCAGTGTGGCCGTTGAGTGGTTGGGTGGATGAGTGTGTGGGTGGGTAAATGCGTGAGCGAATCAGCATTGTTTGACCTGCAGTGTGGTGGGTGGGTGTGTGGGTGGATGAGTGGCTGAGTGTGTTGTTGTGACCTGCAGTGTGGTGGTTGAGTGAGTGGGTGGGTGAGTGAGTGGTTGGATGAGTGAATGAGTAGGTGAGTGAGTCGGTGTGTGGGTGAGTGTGTTGTTGTGACCTGCAATATGGTGGTTGAGTGAGTGGGTGGGTGAGTGAGTGAGTAGGTGAGTGAGTCGGTGTGTGGGTGAGTGTGTTGTTGTGACCTGCAATGTGGTGGTTGGGTGAGTGGGTGGGTAAGTGAGTAGGTGAGCGAGTGTGGGTGAGTGGGTGAGTGAGTGGGCGCGCGTGTTGTTGTGACCTACAATGTGGCGGTTGAGTGAGTGGTTGGATGAGTGAGTGAGTAGGTGAGTGAGTCGGTGTGTGGGTGAGTGTGTTGTTGTGACCTGCAATGTGGTGGTTGGGTGAGTGGGTGGGTAAGTGAGTAGGTGAGCGAGTGTGGGTGAGTGGGTGAGTGAGTGGGCGAGTGTGTTGTTGTGACCTGCAATGTGGTGGTTGAGTGAGTGGGTGGGTGAGTAGGTGAGCGAGTGTGCGTGAGTGGGTGAGTGAGTGAGTAGGTGAGCGATTGTGGGTCAGTGGGTAGGTGAGTGGGCGAGTGTGTTGTTGTGACCTACAATGTGGTGGTTGAGTGAGTGGGTGGGCGAGTGTGTTGTTGTGACCTGCAATGTGGTGGTTGAGTGAGTGGGTGGCTGAGTAGGTGAGCGAGTGGGGTGATGGTGAGGTGAGTAGGTGATCGTGAGTGAGTGAGTGGGCGAGGGTGTGGTGACCTGCAATGTGGTGGGTGGGTGAGTGGGTGCCTGAGTAGGGGAGTAGTGTGTCGTGACGTGGTGTGAGTGGAGTAGGTGAGCGAGTGTGGGTGAGTGGGTGGGCGAGTGTGTTGTTGTGACCTGCAATGTGGTGGTGAGTGAGTGGGTGGTGAGAGTGGTGAGTGTGTGGGTGAGTGGGTGAGTAGGTGAGGTAGGTGGTGGTGCGGAGTGTGAGCGTTGGTGAGTGGTGGGCGGTGTGGAGTGGTGTGCTGATGTGGTGTGGGGTGAGTGGGTGGGCGAGTGTGTTGTTGTGACCTGCAGTGTGGTGGTTGAGTGAGTGGGTGGCTGAGTAGGTGAGCTAGTGTGGGTGAGTGGGTGAGTGAGTAGGTGAGCGAGTGTGGGTGAGTGGGTGGGCGAGTGTGTTGTTGTGACCTGCAGTGCAGCTGTGGATGAGACGACACCGTCAGTGTCTGGTGGACCGAGTCCTCAACGCAGGTGGGGGGATCAATGAGCGGAGTTCACGGGAACGGTCGCCATGGCAGCGGCGAGAGGAGGGTGGGGCGGTGACGTGGCCCAGCGGTAGCGCGATCGTCACTTGGCGCAGAGGTTCGCGGTTCAACTCCGGCAGGCAGCCCTGGTTAATACCGCGCGTGCAGTAACCGCGCAAATACGCGCCGTCTGCTTCACAGTCGACGCTAAAGATCCCCGGGGACGTCATTCGAAAACGAGCAGTGGGCCATCATTGTCAACGTTAGGCGAATTCGCAAAAAATATGCCGCAAATTGCTCAATTGGGATCTCACACACACACAGCACATCAGCAGCAGCAGCAGCGGCGGCAACAATCATCGCCCCTGCTGTGAAACCACCCCGGCGGGGCTGCGTTCGCGAGGCACAGCAACGGCACCTTCCTGCGCGATACTACTGCGCTGCAGGAACGAGATGCGCCGGTCAAAGATGTTCACCAAATTTACATGTATTTTTTGTCGTGGCGACAGGGAGGTCAGAGCTGGTGACAGCGCGAGTAGCTCGCACGAGGAGGCGGCGTCGATGATGGGTTTCGCCCCCCCCCCCCCCCCCCCGGGGGTGTAAAAACGGCTCCCTGATCAATGCCCCGTAATTGCTTGACGGAGCGCGCTCAATCTCCGCGGGCACGTGGGCTCCCGTCCGGCCAGGATTCGCCTACCTGGCGCGAGGTGTGACCGACAACGAGACGTGCACAGGGAGCCCTCGCTTCGTGATGTAGTGGTGGTGGTGGTAGGAGTGGTAGATGCGTTCCAAAAAATAAGGCGCGCAAAGCGAAATCGCGTAGCGTGGACCGCGCAGCAACCCCCCCCCCCCCCCCCCCCCATAATGCACCGCACGAGGAGACAGCTGCCGGCCGAGTCGTTTGTTGTCCTTCCCCCGCACCCCCGATTAGCACGGTTGGCTACGCACGGTGCGAAAGAAGTTCAACATACATACACACTACACAATGTTGTCCGACCGCGTAGCCGCATGGCGAGTGCGAATTTTGGGTAGACAGAGGTTAGCCACGTATGCGCTAAATCGCACAAACCGAACCCGCGTAAAGCGAGGGGAACCTGTACGGAACCGACGGGAGATGGGATATTCTGCCGCGGGATAATGGACCGAGCGCTGGACTTGTCGCTGGTTCGATCCCATCTCGCGGCGCGGCAGTTGAAAGGACGCTGCAGGTTTCTCAAGTCCCCTTAGCCTCTGGGTGCAGTGGGGTAAAGAGTGGGTACTGCAACCTCTTCCAAGATGTGTGGCGGCGTGGAGGAGCAGCCCCGAGGTAACCCACTCGAGGGATTCTTTAGAGCTCGCTCTCGTCGCGGTCCTTCCGCTGGCAGTGGTGTGAGCTGGCAATTGCAGGGCTGTGCCTTTAACTTTGAGAGGGAAGCCCGTGGCTTTGGTTCATCGCCCTTCGTCAGTCGGGCCGCAGACTGACGAAGGGCGACTCGTGCGAGGTTGAAATGACAGCGAGTGAGTAGAAGTCGGGCGAGTCGATGTCATGTGTTTTTGCTTGCGCACGAGGAAGCCATTCTGGCACCAATCTGGCAGTGATCGCACCATCATCGTCATCACATTAAAATACGGAACATAACATTAGAAAATTCTAAACAGTGAGAAAAATATGGATGTATTAACAAACCATCTAAAGTTGTTTAGAAGATGAATAAGAAAACAATAGAAACAAGTTGTGGCTGTGAGAAGGGCTCTTACCCGAAACGTCGCCCGTTGCATACCGCGGTAATTATTTAAAGGTCACGCAATGTACGATACTGACGACGAGTGGATCATCTGTGGACAAAAAATAAAAGAGCTTCCCAGCTCATCGGATTACCTCCAGTCTCAAGAAGCGTTGTGATCGCGGGCGTCACGTGACGCGTGGAGGCGGAGGGGCCGCGAGGGGCCGAGCACGTGCTCTCTCTCTCTCTCTCGCCCCGTGCCTGTCGCTTGCAACATCGGCGTGATGATGTGAAGCGTGCGCGGTACACGCACAGTTAGTTAATTAATTAATTGCGCTTTAACGCGGTGTTACTGACGGACGTGTTGAACAACGAAGCGGTTAAAGAGTCCCAGCTGCTCGTCTTTTAAACAGTCGCCTCGATCGATATCGGAGCAGCATCCCGCACAGCAAACTGAGGACCACTGATACCATTTTACGTTCGAAAATAGCCATGATTATTTTCACTATTATTTGTAGATTTTTGTATTGTGCGTCCTTGTAACCTATATATGCAATGCATTTGTTGTCTGAGTGGTAAGTCGAGAAACATGTAAGTCTGTGCTCTTCGGTTAGGGTGACAAGTGGAGATATGTCCTTGCCCAATCCTGGACAGCTGGCTTACAACAACAAACACTGAAACTGCTGCTATTACTTCCGCTGTTGTTCCATGCTGATGTTCCTGCCGTAGTGTTCCTCCTGCGGCTGTTGCTGCTGCATCGTGGTGCTCAGGCTGCACGCAGCGCCGAGGATGTGCGGGTGACGTTCTTCCGGGGAGAGAGGCAAATGATTGCTGCTGCAACGTCACCAAAGGTCACCGCTCCGCTGCGTCGCACCTGGGGGGGGGGGGGTGCACAGAGACAGAGGCCCTCCGTGCGGAGACGCTGTCAGGGCGCGTGGCACGGGGCTATCAGAATCAAAATCTTGCACTCATTGTGGAGGAATCCGATGAGCTATGAAGCTCTTTTTCACAGATGTCCAGTAGGGGCACAGGCTCAGAACGTTACAACAGCAAACAGTACAAAAACACGGCAGGAGTGAAAAGTATAGGAAAGTTACACAAATCACTTTCAAATAAATATACGTATACACAAATGAAACTAAAGACATTTGTTTTTAATCTTAGCAGGTAAAAGCCCACCGAGGTGACCGCCGGCTGAGCCAACTGGAAGCCGCCGAGCGGCTGCGCACTCTCAATCACGCGCAGCGAAGCGTCTCGGAGCGCGCGCGTCAGCGAGAGAGCGCCACAGGTCACCCCAGCATCATCAGCAGCAGCATCATCAGCAGCATCATCAGCAGCATCATCATCAGCAGCAGCAGCAGCATCATCAGCAGCAGCAACAGCATCATCATCATCATCAGCAGCATCATCATCATAAGCATCAGCAGCATCATCATCATAAGCATCAGCAGCATCATCATCATAAGCATCAGCAGCATCATCATCATAAGCATCAGCAGCATCATCATCATAAGCAGCAGCAGCATCAGCATCATCATCAGCAGCATCATCATCAGCAGCATCATCAGCAGCATCATCAGCAGCAGCAGCATCATCAGCAGCATCATCAGTAGCAGCAGCAGCATCAGCATCATCAGCAGCATCATCATCATCAGCAGCAGCAGCAGCATCATCATCATCGTCATCAGCAGCAGCATCATCATCAGCAGCAGCAGAGCGCGGCGGACAGGCCGGACAGACGCACCGTGGCCGCAGACCGAGCCCGTACACATTGATTCATTTAGACGATTCTATTCTAGTGTCGCGCACGATGGCGAACGGCAATCTTGGTGATTTTGAAAACGTTTTGGTTTAGCCATGTTTGTTTTCTGTAGGACAGAGTTAGCCTGATAACATTAATCTAAATTGTCTTATGGTTGTTCTTGTTTGACCTGCATCCCACTGGGATTTGTGCACACAGCGTTGAAATGAGGTGTTTTTTTCTGGAAGACTTTGCTGTTTTTTCCTGGATTTTTCTGTTGCGCGTAGTCACTTTGTTGCGGTTGCACCCGAGTCAAGAGCCGCATGGCTCACAGGGTTATATACCTAATAAATGAAACTGAAAATTGAAATGAAATCTGTTCAAAGTCGAGGTCCTGCTGCTGCTGGTGGCCACAACGAGAGGGCTTCAGGAGAGAGAGAGAGAGAGTTCGGCTAGTGTTGTGATTCATCATCATCCGTTGAAGGAACGCAAACTGCAGTGGGTGTACGATGTCTGTTGAACTTCTTTCGCACCGTGCATAGCTATCCGTGCCAGTCTGCGGACGGACAACAAACCAACCACAATCAACTGTTCTAAAGAAGTGAGTTTTCAATCTCGATTTTAAAAGTGGATAGCTCCCAGTGGCTTCCTGATATCGGAAGGAAGAGGTCCGTAGTTTTGGTTGCATCGTGGCCACAACCGCACTGCTGTGGCGTGCGTCTTAAAGTTTACATCCGTGAAGGAGATGCGCGCATCGGGCTGTTAGAAGTGTGGACGAGTAACGTCCAGACACGGGAGAATGCGAGGTCACCGCCAGCAGAACGCGGCCTCGGCTCACCGATGCCATCGTTGAACCCTCGCCTCTGGGCGTCCGTCTACCCACGTGCTTTCCTCGTGGCGACCCTGCCCTCTAAGTGCTTTTGAACCATTAATGTGCAATACACATAGCACGTATTTTTTAAAAGTTTAATCCATTTATGGAATAATTATTTCAGCACCCCTCCCCCAGCATAAAAAATATATTTTCACGCGCCGCTTACTGTCGATGGATCACGGCTCGGCGCACTCAGCTCATTTCAATTCTCCCTTGAGGCTGCGTCGCGGAATGTCAATTGGGGGAGGAAAAACAACGAAGCCAATAGACGCGCGACACTGGCCCCGTTGCCGTTCGCTCGCTCGCTCACGCAGGCCGTGCCGATAGCCACGCTACCCCCCCCCAGCCCCCCACCGGCCACTCTCGCTTGACACCGCCGGCGCGATGGGCAGCGCACTGGACCCATCGTGCCCGTCGCACGGCAACCGCCGTGGCCAACGCCTTGCGCAAGGCGGGGGGGGGGGGCAACGCTCTATCCCCGTACAGATGGAAACAGGTGGCGACTTAGTCCACTCGCTGTGCCGCCTTCTCCTGGCGAGCCAGGGTACGGGCACCTCATTGACGCTCGCGGGTAGGGAGTTTTACAAAAAAAATGTGTGTAGGTATGTTGAACTTTTTTCGCACCGTACGTAGCACAACCGCGTGAATCGGAAGTGCGACCCACCAACCCTCGCTGCTGCTGCTGCCTCCAGAGTGCTGGGTTACAGGCAGCTACGTGCAACAGCGTAGCCCGTGTTGTTTCGTATTGTCGTCGCTGCTGTTGTTGATCATTTAAATGATGGCATGAAATGAAACGGGGACGTGCATACGACGAGGATGGGGAGACAACAACAACAACAAAAACCACGACGACAATTGGCGTGTTCGAGTGAAGAGGGTGGTGGTGCGGGTAAGGGTCGCGGCACTCACGACGACACCGCAGAGAGCCCCGGGGCACTCCCGCGATGTCGTGGGGAGTCGCGGTCAATGGATCAAGGCGTACAAAGAAATTGTTCTGCTGTTGCTGCGATATGTAAGGGGCGAGCAGACGTAGCCGTGGGCTTTCCCGATGATGACGATGCAGGACAGATGTGAGAATGACCAATGCCTGGGCGTTGTGAGTGCAGTGAGCGGAACGGAGCCACGGTTGCCAGCGATGTAGTCGAGTTTTCTCAAAAATATATTTTATCTTGACATTTTATGGATGTACGGACAAAAAAGTTCATCATTGCGATGATGATGATGATGGGAACGTGTCAAAAAAACAATGGTTTAGAAAGAGGTGCGGGGCAAGGAGACAAACTAAACACGAAAAGCAGTTCCAAAGAAATTAGTTTTCAAATTAGGATGATGATTTCAAAGTGCTTAGCTCCCAGTGGAGAGCGTTCCAGACGGCCGCCGAAGCGCATCGGCAGCCAATGCGCTCTCACTGGGCCGCACGGCATTTCTTTTCCGCGTCCGGAATTTGCACAGCGAGGGGCTTGAGATACCGAGGCACCTGGCGATCGTTCTAAGGGGTGAAGGCGACTCGGGGAGGGAACATTCCGCGTGACGCCACCCGATTTGGCTTTGGTGCCCAAATACCTCGCGGACCCCGTTAAATAATTCAAATTCTCATTTTAAGCCACGTGGGAATTTGACACCGCGCTAACGCTCGCTTGTCGAACGCTTTGCAGCTGCAGCAGTCGCATCAACAGCAGTAGCAGCAGTGGTATCAGCAGCAGCAGTAGTATCAGCAGTAGCATCAACAGTAGTGTCAGTAGCAGTATCAGCAGCAGTAGTAGTATTAGCATCATGAGCAGAAGCAGTAGTATCAGCAGCATTAACATTAGTAGCAGCAGCAGTAGTATCAGCAGCAGTAGTAGTATCAGCAGAAGCAGTCGTATTAGCAGAAGTATCAGCAGTAGTAGTATCAGCAGCAGTAGTATCAGCAGAAGCAGTCGTATTAGCAGAAGTATCAGCGGTAGTAGTATCAGCAGCAGAAGTATCAGTAGCAGTAGTATCAGCAGCAGTAGTAGTATCAGCAGCAGTATTAGTATCATCAGTAGTATCAGCAGCAGTAGTAGTATCAGCAGCAGTAGTAGTATCAGCAGCAGTAGTATCAGCAGCAGTAGTATCAGCAGCAACATGAACATCGTTGTTGTTTACTCACTCCCTTCACCAACGCAAGGCCCCGGTTACCAGGGGTTACCAGGGGTTACCATGGATTCACCTGGTAACCGACGGTCGCCATCTGAGTCAAGGGCAGGGCCAGTTTCCATAGCAACCGTGATGTCACCGTATTGTTAGCTCGGCGCGCTGGGTTGCCAGGCAACCGCGATGCTGTGATGCTGATGAGAGTCCCGGCGATGACGAATTGCAAATTCGGAGCGTTCGCTAATTTATGTGTATGAGGCTAAAAAAACAAATGTCTGTACGTGTGCGTGACAGCACACACAACAACAGCACTATCAAAGGGGTGTAATATATATATACAGTATGTACAAAGACAAAAAATAGACAAAGATTCCCCTATAGACGATAACAGACTGTTAGGGCAAGTGCTGTAAGCGAGCACCTATGAAAGTTGGCAAGGCACACGAGGGGGTGGGTGGCGAGCACCACGCCCGGCGCCCTTTGTCTCTCTAGTGACAATGTTTACACACCGCATTTGAGGCCGAGTCGACCTAGGGGAGGCCCATGACCGGTACAGATAATCGTCACGTGGTGTTGGCCGTGAGCGGGAATCGAACCCGGATCGCCGGGCTCATAGCGCAGCGTAGCGCCAACCGATACACTACCGCTCCCCTGATATTGACCGAACACAATTCTAATAACTACCATAATCACCCAGGAATGTCAGTACTTAACTCTCGTGACGTCTCTCCACATCGAGCAGGCCCTCATGATTAATAATCATGAGCAGGTGAAGTCACTGAACATGGACACCCCCCCCGCCCCATTATTACTACCTACTATAATGAGCTAAGAATGTCTGTGTGCAACGCTCGCGACGTCACTCCACGTCGACCAGCCCCCCTCATTGATAATCAAGAGTAGGTGACGTCACTACACATGGAGCACCCTCCCCCCTCATTAATAATCATTTCAGGTGACGTCCTCCGAATGGAACCCCCCCCCCCAATTAATAATAAGCGGCTGACGTCACTCCCCATGGGGGGGGGGCGAGGCGCCTCCTCCCCCCTCCTCGGCGTCAACTTACAGCCCTCACTACAAAGGCAGAACCCTCACGTCACGCGATCTCCGTCACGCTGTTGAGACATCCAAGTAAAAAGGACGTCGTGATGAAAAAGGGATTATAACCTTCACATGAAATTGGTCTGTGTCACCGCGCCCTTACAAATTGCACACGAATCAATGAATAGATCACGTCGCGGTCTGCTTTTCGCTTGCAAGTTTCAGATTTACTGCAACACAGCCGTCCTTGGACGGGCAATAGGCTCGTGCTGAATAATTACAAAGCAAATCCTTCAACAGGGATTATAAGACACGCGCAGCAGCAGCAGCATCAATCATCGCCCCCTACTGGCAGTCTCATGCCCCCCCGGGGTCTCTCTCTCTCGTCAGTGAGACTCATC